GAGGGGGATATATCCCCCTGGGGGAAGGATTGAATACCGCCCCTGATGTGGTGTTTGTGTTGCTGAATCCTATTTAATTCAGAATTCACTAAGGTGTGGGGATAAGTAAGTGGAGGTAAATGGGATAAAAAGAAATAAAAAGACATACCTGTGGAGAAATGTGGGACATTCGCAGCCCATGCAACAATGGAAAACATCTGAACACAGAGGAAGCATGCAAGGGTGAACGTAAGGAATGACATCTGAAATGGAGTCATTCAATATTCAGCCCGATATTTGAACATACTGAACTGGCTCATCACTTTGTAACAATGCAAAAAAGAGTAACTACTAGAACCCTCGGTACAGTAGACCACCGAAATTGGATTCTACTGCCATTAAAAAAATAAGAAACATACTGCAGAAAAAATGTAGGCAATGTTAACGACCCGTCGAGATGGCTGTCCCAAAGTCCACTCAGCTCCTAATTGCATTAGGTAGAAGATCAACGAGAATATGTAGAGCCGCCAACAACATTCTACCCACGATTTTACTCGAATACTAAACGGAAGTTAATTATTCACTTGATTTTTGAGGTGAAAGCGTCGCTATCTTCACTGTGTGGTAGCCGGTCATGCAAAGAATATAGTAATACAGCATACGTAAGAAAATCATACAATATTCATTAAGTATTGTTGAGTGCTCCTCCTGGTCTTGAACTGTACACATGACTTCATTTCATTTCAACTTTCATTTAATGCTCTACTATAAAGCAATAGCAATTCAGAAAACTTTGCACCCAAGAAGGCGCCATGTTGTAGAGTTCGAGGGGTAGAATGTTGAAAAGGGTATGATTCTTGTCTGGGAGACTCTTTCTTCTTGGTCTCTGAATATGATTTGGCTCATCCTCATTAAGGCCTGTGCTACTCTATGTTGGATGAAAGGCTGGTGTCAGAGTCCGCGATCCGTCGCAGGTTTCACTGATTTCCGCGATTTGCGCGAATAAACGCGACTTTTGCGATTTGCACGATTCACGCGATTCACTCGACGGGTGACGGAAATCACTAGTGCTCGATTAATACTGCAAGGTGCTTTTCGATACTGCCATCACTTCTGCTTGA